ACAGCACAAAGCAGCAAGCAATGTGTGTGGACATGGGACCAAACTGGATGGATGCAATTGTTGCATTCCTGAAAGAAGGAAAGTTGCCAGATGATCGTAAGGAGGCACACAAAGTCAGATTGAAATCTGCAAGATTCTGTCTAACAGAAGATGGACATCTCTATAGAAGGTCCTTCACTGGACCACTTTTAAAGTGCGTGCACCCTTTGCAGGTTGAGGATTTCCTCTATGAAATTCATGAAGGAATTTGTGGAAGCCATGCTGGGGGCAGATCATTAGCCCACAGGGCCATTACCTAGGGGTATTGGTGGCTCTACATACAAAAGGATGCTGAAGCCTATGTAAAGAAGTGTGAACAATGCCAAAAGTTCGCACCTTTGATACATCAGCCAGCTGCTGACCTAAACCCAGTATCCAGCCCTTGGCCATTTGTCCAATGGGGCATGGATCTGGTTGGGAAACTTCCCCAGGCAACTGGGTAGAGAAAATACTTGCTGGTGGCAACAAATTACTTTACAAAATGGATAGAGGCAGAACCTCTTGCCAAAATCTGAGATGTGGACGTCAAGAACTTTATATGGAGAAATATCATCACCAGATTTGGCATTCCAAGAGCAATAGTTGCCGACAACGGAACACAGTCTGACAACAAACTCATCAAGAACTTTTGTGCCAAATTCAAGATCAAGAACTACTTTTCAACACCAAGTTTTTCCCAAAGTAATAGTCAAGCAGAAGCATCCAACAAAGTAATTTTGGATGGAATAAAGAAGAGGCTGCAGGCAGCAAAAGGAAAGTGGGTAGACGAGTTGCCCAACGTGCTTTGGGCATATTGGACTACGCCGAGAAGATCAACAGGGGAATCCCCCTTTGCCATGGCTTATGGCACAAAAGCTGTCATCCCATTAGAGATCGACATCCCAGGGATCAGGACCCAGGGAGTAGAGAATGGCACTAACGACATAGTCTTAGCCCGAGATCTGGACCTTTTGGAAGAACGAAGAGAAAAGGCTACAATTCAGCTAGCAATATACCAGCAACAACTTGCTAGAACTTACAACAAAAAGGTCAATCCAAGAGATTTTCAAGTCGCCGACCTAGTCTTGAGAAAAGTCGTCGGCAACAAAAAGGATCCCAGAGAGGGCAAGCTTGTCCCAAACTGGGAAGGACCCTACAGAATTACTTCGGTATTAGGTAATGGAGCTTATTGGCTTGAAGATAACGAGGGCAAAGCACTGCCAAGACCTTGGAACACTTGTAATTTAAAATTCTTCTATCATTAGATGTGCAGTATTTTTTGCCGATGTCTTAATAAAGTTTTTTCAAGAGTTCTTTCAACACATATGACTGATAAAATTATATACTGATGTTTTGGAGACATGAATAAATGAGATCCCAAGTAGAACTTAGGTTCACATTGGGGGCAAGAAGAAGAAGAATGCGTTTACCACTTGTTGAAATTTGTACCAATTTACAAGTTGGTTAAACTAAGATAATGTTTAAAACCGAAATTAGACCGAGGTGATGCTTAACCGAAGTTAAGCCGAGATGATTCCTTGTCTTCACTTGTTGAAATTTGTAGCAATTTACAAGTTGGAGTCAAGCTGATTCCATAATTCACTTGTTGAAATTTGTAGCAATTTACAAGTTGAAATTAAGCTGATTCCTTGTCTTCACTTGTTGAAATTTCTAGCAATTTACAAGTTGGAGTCAAGCTGATTCCTTGTCTTCACTTGTTGAAATTTGTAGCAATTTACAAGTTGGAGTCAAGCTGATTCCTTAATTCACTTGTTGAAATTTGTAGCAATTTACAAGTTGAAATTAAGCCGATTCTTTATCTTCACTTGTTAAAATTTGAAGCCGATGTTATAGTTTGCAACTTATAGCAAACTACAGGTTGATCCAACCAAAGAAGATGCTTAACACTTGTTGAAATTTGTAGCAATTTACAAGATAATGTTAAGCCGATATGTGATCATTCGTCAAAACTTACAGCAATTTACAGGTTGAGGTAAAAGCTAAGTATATTGTTCAAACAGATGTTGAAATTTGCAGCAATTTACAAATAGACCATTATTTAACACTTGTTATAACTTGAGAACAGTTTACAGTATATGTTAACACTTGTTGAAATTTGTAGCAATTTACAAGTAGTCTAGACCGAGATCACTGTTTACATACTTATTGAAACTTGAGAAGAAACTTGCAGAGTTAATATTGAATAGTATATGTTAAACACTTGTTGAAATTTATCAAGAGTTTTCAGGTCTATATCTTGCCGAAGTAAAGTTTGAAGTTGTTGTACCCGAGGTATGTAAGCCCGAGGAGATTGCACAAAGGTAGCAAAATATTCTAAGTACAGAATCATACAGAAGCAAATCAAACAGAAATTAAAAGATTGAAGCATTTCGACAATACAGTTGTAGTCCTTCATAAAAGCGGGAACAATCCAAGAATAACTGTTCTGAAGAAGGCACATCGGCCAAACAAAGAAACTTATATTGTCCAAAAAACAAAAAAAAGTACAAAAGACATGGAAGTTATGATTCTTCAGCTTCAGGAGCAATTTGGGTTTGGACCTCGGCAGGTTCTTGAAAAGCTACTTCGGCAACCTTCTCGGCCATGATCTCGGCATCAATTTCGGTAAGTGTTTGATTAAGACTATTATCGGTGGGAGGAACGTCAGATGATGCTTGTTCAGGAGTAGCCTCCTTAATAACCTCCTCATCTTCTTCATGAGTCAGGTCTAGGATTTGATCATCCTGAGGAAGAGATTGGATCTCATCAGCATCCTTGGGCTTCCTTACTAGAGCATCACCGTCATCATCCTCATCTTCGGCTTCAGACTCAGACTCAGATTCTTCTTCAGCCTGACTTGGAGGTGGAAGAGGAGGAAATGGGAGAGGAATAGCTTCAGCCTTGCGCAACGGCGAGTCATCTGGGATGTTGAGTTTTTTGGCAAGGGCGATCCAACCAAGGGAGAAGCCCCTGTTGCATGCCTGCTTAACTTGAAGTTTGTAGTCCTCAGCAACATTGGCCATTCCTTGGGCGTAAGCTTTTTCATCGGCTTCAGTAATTTCGGCGTTTTTAGTGGCCAGGGCCTGCTCAAGCTCTTTTTTGGCTTGAGCCTTTTTTACCTCGGCATCTTTCTTCTCGGCCTTGGTAACTTTTTTGATGGCTTCAGCAGACTCCGCTTTTTCTTCGGCCATTTGTTGGGCCTTAGTGGCAGCCTCGGCCTGATCTTCCAGCTTCTTCATCTTTGCTAGAATAGCTTTGTTCTCCTTTTTGAGGGCGGAAACCTCCCTCTTCATGTCGGCCAATCTTTGCCGATTTTCAAAAGACTGCATTGAAAACGAATGGGCGTGCTGGATGGCCTGAAAGAAAACAGAAGTGTTAGAAAATCTTCTAAGTATGAAGCAGAAAGAAAAGTCAAAACAGGAAACACTTACTTGAACGGAGTGCTGGAGCATTAGCGCATAGTTCTCATACTCGCTGTACCCAGCATTTCGCTCCAGATCGCTTGGAAGAAGAAGAGCAGTACTGAGGGCGACACCGACATTAATGTCGTCGGCACTCTCAGTTGACATAATTGGCCTATCCTCCAAAGTCAACTTTGGGGCTCAGGGGACATCGGGTTTCTTGGACCCCGAAGTAGTAGCTGAGGCAGACCTCGGCTTCTTTGATTGGGTAGACTCGGAGGGCTGGGTCTCGGCCGACCTTTTTGAAGGAGCAAAAGAAGTCTTCTTACTTTCAGCCAGTTTTGAGATAGGCAAAGTATCCTCAGCCTCAACCTCAGTAGCCTTGGCCTTAGGCTGGGCCTTCTTGATTCTTTTTGGCTTCGGTGGGGGCATTGGTTGGGTTGGTATAGCATCAGCATCAGTCGGGAGGTCGGCTAGGAGATTTTGGGCAATTGGCTTTGCGCGACCCATTTCGGCAGTTTTGACAAGGCGTCGCCGACGTTTTCTTTCTGGTATTGGGATCAAGTATGGGGCTGAAGTGGATGGTTGATTGGTTGGGTCAGATGTGGACTCTTGATCTGTTCGGGATGAAGAAGCGGTTATAGTTGTGGCAGTAGGTGGAGAGAGGCTCTTTTTCTTTTTCTTCGGGACGTCGGGCAATGTGGATTTGTATGTCAGAATAAAGTTTAGTAATAATGGAGCTTTGTGCTTGTGGATTGGAAGATCAAGGAGCTTCTTTAAATCTTTTCCTGGGAAGTACGATTGACGAAAGTTTTTTGGTGGCTGGTGAAGATCTGCAGGACAAACAAACAGACATTAGAAACAAACAAAGTTTTAAAGACTTAGAAATAACTAAGTATTGATGCTGGGCTCTTACCCTTGCCCTCTTTAACTGTTCGAGGAAGAGGGTAGAGGTGAACATCTTCGTCTGGACCAAATTCCCAATTTCCCGAAGCAATGACAAAGTCATCCCCGGTTCCCTTGTTGGAGTCCGGGAGGTCGGCTACAATTTTGAATTCGGTAGACCTCGGCTTAAGGTAGTAGACGTAACCTCTTTCCTTCAGGTTAAGGGGGCACATGGTATAACAATATTGTATATCGGCAAGGGTGATCCTAACATTTTCCTGCCTAGTTAGGGCTATGATACCATTAATCACTCGATAGGAGTTGATGGTAAGTTGTATGGGGTTCAATTTATAGAAGTGGAGAACCTCACGAAAAAGGGGATTGAGTGGAAGCCGGAGTCCGCACTCAGTAAAAGCTACTATAGGAAAGGGCATTGAGTTATCCGTGGGCACGATAGAGTCATTATCTTCAGCCAGCCTCAAGTGGACATCGGCAGGAATGGAAAATTCTTGCCTGAAAAATTCAAGTTTAGTTGGGGTGTTTACCCGGTGTCTCCACATACCCATTACGTCGGCCTAAAAACAAAGCCTGTGTTTCAAAAGATAGGTGTTTCAGAAGGGTTGCTAGAACCTCGGTTTCAAACCTGGGTAAGGATTGGTAAGGTTTTGTTTCAGTTTTTCCTAGAGATTGAAGGTTCTACAGACAAATCCCAAATCTAAAACTATAAAGACGAAGATCGAGGGCACAGATCTGGTAAAAACACAAAAGAACAGAGAACAAAAGCGAAGTTTCAGAAAAAGAATAGGGATGGGCTATCAAGAACACAAAGAATACAAAGGGTTAAGGGCCAAGAACAGTGGTGAAACAGTGCAAAGTGTTCATGGCATGTGAAAAATCATGAAATAAGACGCATTCAGGTGAATGATTCACAAATAATGCCTAAGAAGAACAGTAATGGCAAGAAACTTCAGAAACAATCAAGAATTAGAAAAAAAAGGGTAAGGGGGCCAGTTGCTTACCAGATAAAATGAAGCCGGAGCGATATTCGCCGAGATCAGACGACAGTTGCAACAGTGGCGAAAGCTTCGCGGGAATGGAAGAATAAGGACGGTCGCAGAGTTTAGGGCTTGGAGCAATGGCAGATTCGAAGAATGCTAGAGCTTTTAGAGAGAGAAAAAGCAAGAAATCAAAATGCAAAAAGTGGAGAAAGGAAGAGGGAAAGAAAAGTTTTATCAAAAACTTAAAACGGCGGCAAAGGCAGGGCATTTATTACGCCTGGAGCAACGCACACGTCAGACGGCGCAGACGAGTGAAAGACAGCTTTCAGGCGCATCACAGACACGGACCAATGAAGACAAAGCACGCGAAAGGAACGGTTAGATGTGCATGACAGCTCATGCGCGTGGTGAAGTTCATTTGAATTCTTGTTCTCCGAAGAGAACACATCAGCTTGAAAATGAATTATCTTGGCCAAATAGTTTTTTAGCTACTATACAAAAAAATATATCGATATAGGTTCCATCACCTCAGAATGCCGAGGTAATAGAACCTAGGGGGTAGTTGTGGGGATATTTTTTTTGGATACCAACACGTGGCATGGCGACGCCGACGTGTCAGACGAGGTGCCACGTGTCCTGGTCGTTGTGCCGAGGTCATATCGGCTAGGCCGAGGTTGCCTCCAAAGATATCGGAATCCGAGATAAGCGGATAAGGGACAAGAGTCCTAGAATGAACAGGGAACTCAACTTGGATATGGACAAGAGTCCTAGATTGGGAGAAGACTTCAGTTTGAGTAAAGATAAGACTCTTAGAGAGTTAATCCTAATCCCACTGGGAGTCCCAGATTAGCAGTAATCCTAACTCCATTAGGGCTAGGCTCCTTTTGGACTAGGATTGTGTTGGCTATAAAAGAGAGGCACCCCCATGGGTCTAAGGTATGCTGTTTTATACTCAAGCTTGTGAGTTTAGCACTTGATTATCTTTGAGAGATATACTGACTTGATCGTCGGAGTGCCCCCGGGTGGAAGAGCCACCGTCGGAGCCTTTTTCTTTCTGTTACAGGTTACTAAAGCCATCTATTCTGCCGGTGCTCTCCAGCTGGTTACTAAGCAGGCAGTGTGGTCGGAAAATCACCCACACAACCACAAACTTCAGGATTTTATTCTAGTTTTTGGGTTTAAAATTTTTGTTTAGAGGGGACAAAAAAGGTGCAAGCAAATATATTATGAAAAAACAATGTACTCCGACAAATATGTTAAAAAATATCTTAAAAATAAAATATAGAGTGTAAACTCACACTTAGAGTGTGTTGTATCTAAAATAAATTTGATTTGTCGATTGTATTTGTGGGACACTTGTTTTGATGTCTAGCATTGGTAATCATATTTGGTTGATGTGTGTTCAATGATTAACCATAGCACGAAAATAATAACTTGAAATCCTTATTAAATTAAATTAGAAGTCATTCCTCAGAGAGAAATACAATCTACATATATATACCTCTTTTATGAGAATAATCTCTCGACCAACTGACCTGAACCTCACTTGTGAATCAGTGACAGACACAAAAACTGCAAGGCCACACACAACACAAGTGTATTAAAAATAAATAAACATTGAACAATTAAAAAGCAGCAAAAAATAAATAAATAAATGCATGCATCAAATCACTGCATGAAAAATAGATAATTAATTACCGGCACCCCCTCTAAAGCTTCTGAAATATAGCAAAATATGCCTGAACTCCTCCGATGGTATCCCAACAGCCACATCATAATTGTATTCTGATTCATCAATGTTGACATGATTATTAGGGATTTGCACCACGTAAGCTTCCTCGGTTCGGGTCTGATGAATTCCTGAAAATTAATGCAATCCATTTTTCAATTTAAGCAATCTATTCATAATTTATAAGAAAATATAAAATAACAAAATAAAAAGGATTTATACAGAACTTTTCAAGAATTACACAGGTCAGCATATTTTCAAGAATCAATTCAAACCAACATAATCAAACATATTTGAAGAAACTGTGGATAATGTTATTAAATGTTAACTGGTTTTCAAGAATCAATTCATAAAAAAGCATAATTGAACATAATATACACAATTATACATGTGAACACATCACACATTACGGTTTTGAAGCAAGAAACAAAGCATAGTGACCAATATACAAATATACTCTCATTGTTTTTGTTTCCAAAAAAACATAAAGCAAAGATGAAAAAAAATGAAAAACAACTAAACATCAAAATGGGTTTTCAAGAATCAATTCAAAAGAACCATAACAAACTAAAAAGTACACAATTATTCATATGAACACATCAGATTATGATTGTGAAGCAAGAAACAGAGCATAGTGATCAATATACACATAATGTTGGGTTTTCAAGAACCAATTAAAAAAAGAAAAAACCCAACCAAACAGGACAATGGGTTTTCAAGAATCAAATAAAAGCAACCATAATTAAACAAAAATGCACACAGTTATACATATGAACACATCACATTATGGTTGTTATGAAGCAAGAAACAGAGCATACTGACCAATACGAAAGGTGAAACTGACAAGATTCTCTAAAAACAAGCTCCGGACAGTGATGGACTCATCGTCATCAGTAGTAGACAGAATAGCGTCCAAGGCATTGAGTTCGATCCCAACCGAACAGCTTTGACCGGTGTAAAAACGATCGAATCTATAGGAATTGATTCGAGCCACTGCGATGACCATGAGATTTGGGGATGAAGTTTGCAATGATATACTCTCCGGTGTGGCGATCACAGTGGCTCGGGTTGCTATGTGCACCAACGGTGACACGACCTTCTTCAGTAGGTTGCCCTGAACTAGCTTGAACTCTAACATGATGAGAGAGAGAGAGAGAGGGGTTGGCGGGAAATGTATGTGTTCGGTATTTCAACTGAGTTAGTTACAAGACGGTTGCTTTCTACGAGCTGATATTGTCAACCGCAGGGGATACACAAGCAGACTTGGTTGGCTGCCACTCATAAGGGTTAGAAGGGCTAAATTAAAAATACACTTGTTGAGATTTTTATAAAATATGATTTATATCATATAGTTTTGAAAATTATATCTAGTCCCTAGTTTTGATTCAGAGATTTGAGAAGAAATTTAGAAACGGAAAAGAAAAAAGTGAAATGACTAATATTTTGAGACAATAAAAAATAAAATAAATGACTAATATTTTGAGAGGGAGGGTGTAGTAAAGTGCAAGGTTTTAACTGTTAAAAAAAAAAAAAGAAACGTAGGGTTTTAAGGCATCTTCAACCTTGCATTAATTTTTTTGTTATTAAATTTGAATAAAAATTTCTTTTGACAACAAATTCTTTATAGAGGGTTTTGTAATTTCATCAAATCAATAGACGAAGTGTAATTTTTTCATAAATTTTTACCTTGAGGTGTTTGTCTGGAAAACATCCAGGGGACATCTTAGGAGATATTCAGTGGTAAAAATCTAATAATAATGAACAGTAATTTAATAAAAAGTATATTAATTTTCAATTTGATAAAAGAAAAATAAAATTTTAAATTTCATACGTATTTGATTAAATCATTAAAATAAAAAAAGAAATTATTTTTTATTAAATTTAAATTTAATAATAATTTTAAGGGACGCTGATTGAGGGCCCGTAATTTCGGGGCTCGAATGCCCCGAAATACCACTTTAGGTAAAAAAAAAAAAAAAAAAAAAGAGAAAAGAAAGAAAAAAATAAAACAGTTTCCAAAATTGGAAATTAGGGGCATTAGGGGCAAATTTTTTAGGGCCACCAATCATTTTCCTTCAAGGACAACTGAGTTAGTTACAAGACGGTTGCTTTCTACGGAGCTGATATTGTCAACCGCAGGGGATACACAAGCAGCCTTGGTTGGCTGCCACTTATAAGAGTTAGAAGGGCTAAATTAAAAATACACTTGTTGTGATTTCCTTAAAATATGATTTATATAATGTAGTTTTAAAAATTATATCTAGCCTTGATTTTGATTAAGAGATTTGAGAAGAATTTTTTTTAAAAAAAAGAAAAAAGTGTGTGAAACTTAGTACAATATGGTCATGTTTGATTCACAAGATTAATAGTGAAGTATTAATAATCCTATTAAATTAGTGTGGTATTCACTATCCAATTGGATTAATATCCATTGGATTAATAATCCCACCCCTACCCATTACTAATAATCCTACAAATTTGTTGGATTAATTATCCATTGGATTAATAATCCTAAACCAAAGTGTTAAAACAAACATAGGATAATTGGGCCCACGAATTAATAATCCCAATCCCATATTCTAATCCACTCAATCAAACATGCCCTATAGGTATATTTTATTCACAATTCATCTACCTTTTTCTTTTTCATTTTCCTTTCCAAATCTCTTAACTAAACACATCATTAAAGTTTCTAATTTCATAACAAATGACCCGATTATCAAGTCAATTAATAATTTTTAATGATGTCAGGAATTTATTTCAATTAATAATTTAAGTAATTTTATTACTGTATCGACGAGCACTTGAAAATTTTATTTTTCTATTAAATAAATTTTTTTGACAAGAAGGTATTTATAAATTTTTAAATCACAAAGTTAATCTGCATTTTAAACAAAATTCAGAACATGTATTTGTAATATGTAAAGAAAGAAAATAAAGAAGCGGTTACGTGGCAAGTGATAAGGGCAATTGTGCTATAATACCATACACCTGTTATGGTTGAAAAAAAAATAAACTTAAATAAAAACTGAATTTTTTTTTTTTTTTTTTTTTTGAGGGGGGTAAACTATGCCATTAATTTTTGTATTTCAAGTTCCAAAAAAAGAGAAAAAGACTAATAATCATTTTAATCATTATAATTTTAATTTGAATAATTTTAATTTTATATTTTTAATTTTATTATAATGTGATATCTCTATTATGCGTCGTTAACATTTTGAATGGAAAAAAATCCACGCATAATGAAGAGACCATATTACAATAAAATTAAAAATACAAGATTCAAATTGAAACTACAAAACTAAAATAAAACTTTACTCAAACTAGATGAACCAATAGTATAATTTACCTCTTTGTTTTCCTTCAAATTATTTCATTTTTTAAGATTTTATACATTTTTATTCGGGTAAATTACACTGACCTCCCTTGAGACTTAGACAAATTATAGTAAACTACACAATTTTAGAATAATTACATTGAACTCCCTTAAGGTTTTAATTCACATAACACTTACACTCTTTTTCATTAATAATTATTAATTATATGGACAAAAAGATAATGTCATCATATCTTTTACATTGAAATACATATTTTTGCTTTATTTATCTTTGTGATTTCACACTATTTGCATTAGTTTCAGCCATTTTAATCTAACTAAAATAGAAGTTGGCGTAATTATATCAAAATTATGAATTTTAATGTATTTTGTCCAAACCTCCGGAAGAGGTCAGTGTAATTTCCCCATTTTAATTTATTCGTGTTAAGGCCAAATGTTATTAGAATTTTATGTTACAGGAGCCGTAAATGAGTCGAGTTGAATAATAAATTATTCAAGTTTAGATTAAAAATTTAAGGATTTATTACACTTTTTATCCTTAAACTATTGTCAAATTATTTACTTAATCCCTGAACTGTCGCTTAAGTCTAGTAAGTCCCTAAAATATATAAATCAAAGTCCATTTACTTCCTAAACTATCAATTGAATCGATTAAAAATATTTAATTGAACTATTTAATCCGCGAATGGATTACAAAAATAAAATATTCGCCTATAAGTATTATAAATTAGTAAAAATCCCTATTTAGTTAAAATTTTATTTAAAAAAAAAACTATAAATTTTTATTTAGTCTTTGAAAAATGGACGTTAATTCTTCTAGTAAATTTTCTTTATAAGAGTAAGAGTAAATATCTATAGTATACTTCTTAAATTATCTTTTACAATAGCTACATCCTTACTTTTATCTAGTATTATGTGCCGAATTTCGTTTATAATATTTAATTGATTGTCTTTAAGTTTTTCACTAAGTTTTTTTTTATAAATTAATTAATATATTATTATAAAAAAAAAACTATAAATTTTTATTTAGTCTTTGAAAAATGGACGTTAATTCTTCTAGTAAATTTTCTTTATAAGAGTAAGAGTAAATATCTATAGTATACTTCTTAAATTATCTTCTACAATAGCTACATCCTTACTTTTATCTAGTATTATATGCCGAATTTCGTTTATAATATTTAATTGATTGTCTTTAAGTTTTTCACTAAGTTTTTTTTTATAAATTAATTAATATATTATTATTTGTTTATTATTTAAATTATCTAATTATACTTCTTCAGTATATTTAATACTCATATAATTTTATTAGCAATCTTAAGAAATCAAATTCTGATACTAATTTAAATGCACATTGAAACAAAACATGTTTTAAAAACAAAATAGAAATTTAAAATTTTTTTAGAATAAAATCTTAATTAGATAGGGCCTTTTACTATCTTATAATACTTATGGATATATATTTTATTTTTGTAATCATTTGAGAAATTAAATATGTTTGAATTAAATGCTTTAGGGATATAATAAATTCAATCGATAGTTTAAAAACTAAGTAGACAATTTATTTGATGATAGTTTAAGAATAATTAGTGTAATAAACCCAAAATTTAATGAATTTCAAAACATATTCAATTTTTTATTTTGAACTTTGTGTTGATGTGAAACTTGTTTTAATCATTTCAATTACGAGTCCAACTCGAGTAAAACTTGATTTTGTATGTGCATATAACCGAGTCGAATTTTAAAATAGGTACTAGTATGCTCGAAATTACTATTTTGGTCCTTTGAAAGAGGAAAAAGCCAACAGTGCAACTTGCGATATTTCTACATAAGAGTAGTTTTTGAGTTTTGTATTATAATGTGGGAGCCGAGTGAAAAATTATACATTCGGCAAACAGATCTTAAAGTGCATCGCTAATGGCCCAATCAGGCCCATACCTGGCATTCGAAGACAAATCTTGAACCCATTGCCAGTAGCCTTGTCAAGCCCATACCTGATTAGGCACCGCCAAGAGTTATGATGTTGAGTAGTATCTCGATGGCACGCCGAGGATTAAATGCCGATGATTAAAGGGCATTCATGCCAACTACGAAGATAAGTTCGACAGACCATCTCAATCAAAGTAGGTCCAAACTGACCCTTTCTGAAAGTGTAATAGGGACATGGGCCCTAACACTGTAGTAATGATGAAACAAGCTTAGTTCACATTATAAAGAAATATTTACAAAAATTCTTGAAATATAAACCATTCTCATTCAATAACTAACTTGGCCATCAAAGTGCTAATTATGACACTCTCAACCGGAGTGTTTCTCGTTTCAGGCATAGAAACAAGGACAAAAGAAGGATCTATTTGGGACGAAGTAATATTGCAGAACCACTCCTCACATGTAATATTTTTTCTTTTTCAACACAAACAAATAGTGAATATTGTTAGCATGAATGATGTCGATGTAACCTACTTCTTGTTTTATTGTAAAATTTCAAATTTTTTATAAATATAATCTATCAGTTCAAATATTTCAGTTTTTGATGCTATGTATTATGACATTATACTCTAGGTAACAAGTTTTTTTTTTGACAAGACTAAATATTGTCTGCTAATATCTTTGCGTGAGGAGACAATAATAGTGACTTGCATTACAGACTAGATTATTTCAATCTCTTATTTTGATTATATATTCTACTAAGTACACAATAGACTTATTAGAATTTTCAATTTTCTTTTTTTTTCTCTTTGCGTTAAATTTTCCCAACACTAGACCAAGAGCAAAAACAATAATACTACTTATCATGAAAAAAATATCATGAATATGATCATGAAAGATTCTCTACCGTTAGATTACACATATAAGAAAACACTACATACTAATCAAGGGATGAAAAATCTTTATGAAGCATTTCATGACATTTTTTTTTATGATCCCTAATATTATTCAAAGTTATAAAGACAACCAAAAACAACTTAGCACCATGCATCGCATAATAAAAGTATTGTCTTTGAAGAATTTGATATTGTTAAGGTAATATTGGCAAAAGCATTGAAAATATTATTATAACGTATGGTGCACATTTGTATAAATCACATACATAACCTCTTGAATAAGCAAAAAAAAAAAAAAATTCTATATAATGAGGCACAAAAATTTTCATCACAACAAAAGTGTTTGGCTAGGATAGAAATTTTTTTGGCAACTTAGAAATGAAATAGGGAACCGAGGTGCACGCAATCGTTAGGACTACTCTTGAGTTTGGTCTGGTTCGGAATTCGACTCATTGTTCTCGGCTGGTTCTGGTTCTGGTTCAACAAGTGCCACACCACTCTTTTTATGAGTAGCAGCCTCGAGGACATGGTTGTAGTTTCCTTTCTCCAGGAAAAGTTGAGCAAAATGGTGCTTGCAATAGAGAACCCCATCAAGGGCAGCATAGGAGCAGTGTGTAAGGGGACAACCTCCATGAGCACACTTGAAGCATGACTTGTGGAAAGATTCTCCCTCCATAGTCACCTGCTTGGCAAATGTAATATATAATTATTCTTATTTAAGCTTATTTGAGCAAACTTGTACTATTTCCAAAATCCTTGACCCTTAATCCCTAATGCGCTCATAATTAGTGGGATGGGGATCTTGAGTTACAATCATTCGACTATAAATGCATCGAGAACAAGATTTGGACAATGATTAGATTTGGAAATAGGTTAGGTTAGGATTGAATTGACATAAAACAGTTTAATGCACAGATCATACGTTGATCGTTTTGTATTGAAAATTATGAAGCACAAAAAAAGTACTTATAAAAGTAGTTATGGATTCAACCCTTGCATGTATCATTTTCATTTTTATTTTCAAGTTAATTTAAGATTTGGAAATTTGTGTCTCTGTAACAATATGCGAAACTAAATGATTTGAATGCAGAGAGGAAAAAAAAAATGAATAATTTTTAGGCTGTATTATTATTTATGAATTTGGCATAAAAAAAAAAATGAAAAAAATGTAAAGCTGGCATAAATTTATATCGTGATTTTATTTATGAATTTGTGGAGTATTTATATAACAACTTTAATAGGAGAATGTGGGTTATATAGAATTGCAAACCTTCTCTAATGGGTATACAGTTTTCTTACAAGCTGGGCACTTGTCTTGGGTTCCACAAAACAAGGACGAGAGTTTGTTTGGGACCTGCAAAACATTATCAATATTCATGTATATCATGAACCAATGTTAGTGGTAAAAATTATGCAATAATTAATGATGCATCCAATTCTCCCCATCAAACTTAATATTGAATCCATTTCAATACATTAACATCTATATTGATCTCATTTTTTTCAGGCATTATGAGAGCATCATAAGGACATTTTTGAAGAGTTCTTAACCAACTGAACAATCGGCCTTTCTATACATTCCTCTTATGAAATTCTAAGATTAGCTTTATAAAATCGATTTCATCATTAAAATGAGAACTTCAAACAATGGTACATGGTAGCGACATTGAAATGCACCCTAGTTAAGGTAGAATCATATAACATGAACATACCGTTGAATGTTCCCTCTCAGGCTTCCCCGCTAAAATGATCATCAAGAAACAAAAAATAGTAAGCCAACATAATGAAGCCAAATAGAAAAAGGAAAAGGAAAACAGCAAAAAGAAAAAAAGAAGAATAGAGAAGCTTGAAAATTAGTGCTATAAGAAAAATCTCACTTGTTTGGAAGTTCTTGCTGAAATTGCCAGATTCCTTGAAAAGTTGTTCGAAATGAGTTTTGCAGTAGAGGACTCCATCCATGGAAGAGTAGTTGCTCATCTATGTGAATTCGAACAGAACTGGTGATGACTCAACTTATATGATTTAATACTTCACATAACCAAAATGATTTGATACTTTGCAATGTATGTTTCTCAAATATTGCATGTCATCAACAACATTTTGGTAGCACATATTTTGATGAAATGGTAATAAGGTTGACTACATAATTAATAGTTGCGATTATTTTTTTTCTGTTGGATAATTTTAATATCTTTTATTTATTTACTTATTTATTTTGCTTATGAATCTTCTTTTATCTTGTTCATGAATCTCATTTTGCACATTTTCTTTTATAGTGCTACATAACAATATTTTTGAAAGGTATTGTTGTAATATATATACGGGAAGTTCTTGAATTCATAAGAAAGTCTTGAAACATGATGAATAAGTGAGAAATATTATTAAAATTGGAATACCTCAATGAAGGTTTGCATCCTATTTATAACAAAATAATCTTATTCCTAATGATACACAAAATAATAAAGAATATATAAAAGTTCAAAAAATAGCAAATTTTGAGTGATATTATGAAGTTACAATAACACGTAAAAACAAACGACATTAAAATTGAAAATTGAAAATTGAAAATTAAAGTTATGACTAAAATAAAACTTTCTTATTAGAAAAAATCCAAATTTGACCGTCTAAACCAGAGAATTTGTTTGAAATTAAAGTGGTTTAACTGATTATAAACTGGTGAGTTTTACTCATTGAGCGATTTATGAGCAAACATGGGTGTTTTTTGCCCAAATCAGCTACCTTTGATTGAATGCTCAAACTAGCTGACCCATGTTGTGCATCATAATTCACACATTTAGCACATGTTTTAGTGTCATATATCTGAATAAAAACTTTCCTTCTTTTATTACATCTCAAGATTATTATTATTATTATTATTTTGCACAACAAGGGAAGTTTCAAATGGGATAAATTTATGAATGGAAAATCTTATACACATTATCTCTGGTTTTCCCTATTATTACTGCACTGTGGAAGTACTTTATTTGACAAAGAAAACAAAACATTAACAAAGAAGAAAAAAAGTGTTAAATGAAATAAGCATAAAGGAAAATAAAGCTAAGAGACAACCCTTACCACAAGAGTTCCTTTGCAATGGCTGCATTTGAAACAAGATTTGTGATAAGTAATTCCATCAGCAGTCAACAAATCAACAACATAAACAGTCTTATCACAAGCTTTGCATTTATCTAAAGTTCCTGTGAATGACATTTTTTCCCTTCTTCAACAAAGATTTGTGAGTTAATAATCTTTTTATCTTAAAAACAGTTATTACATCCAAAAGAACCCAATAAATGGATTAATGGGTTGTTGAGGATCAAAGTAAAAGTTCGATGAGAAAGTGTTTGTGGCTCATGATTTGAATTGAGACTAAGCAAAGTCTTTGTTTTGTCTAAAGAAAAGTGATTTATATCATATTAAAATAGAATTTCATTGTTTTCTTGCAATGGTCTAAACTCAATGAATTGGTATTGCACTGATAAATAGCAGACACGTGTTCGGAGATCCCAAGATTATGAGGTTAAAATGGCAAGCTAAAGGAGTAAAATGTTGTTGCAATCCGATTGGAATGGAGTGAAAGAAGGGTGAGGTTTTGACTCATTCTATGAAGTTTGAGGCATGTCTTCTGTTTTTTTGGGCTCACAAGGGTGTTGGTGGGAGATGTCATCCACCTATAACAAGTGGTAGTGTGGGGTCTATTTATTAGACATGTATATATATATATTTTTTGTTGCATTGTTGTCAAAACTTAAATTTGAATTGATTGTACATATTATCATATATATATATATATATATATTAAAAGTAGTATTTTTCTCATACTTAAGTAGTACATTTTAAGGATTTACTTTTTTCAAAAAGAGTCACGTTAGCATGTATTTTCTTAATTATATATAAAATTCTATACAAATCCAAACATAATTTAAATCATATTAACTTCACCTATTTTATATGGATTCTATTTGATAAATATTTATTTTCCATATATTTTTCTTGCTAAATTAATTCTTTCAAGGGTATGAGGATTTTGTTTAATACTGAATTGCCTTTTTTTTCTTCTTCTTATTTTCTCGTGCATTATTCTATATCCAATACCAATTCTATATTATTCTATTTCATAGATTTGTCGTTTAAATTTTATAGTAATTCTATATATAAAATTATATTTCATCTCCTACATTATTTATATAATCACAACTCATAGGAGGAAAAACTTGCATAACAATGATACTCTCGAGGAATCTCTAAAGTTTGGATTTACTACTTGAGTTACTTTTTCAATTGTTGAACAATAAGTTTATTTATTTATTTATTTTTTTATGTTTTGACATAATATTACAGATAATTAATTATTTCATACACTAAGATGCATCTATCGTTTAAATGTTTTCATTATTTTTTCTTTTTGGGTTTACATATTGTTATGTGATTCTGTCTTTATTAGTCGTTGTTAAATTTCTTTTATATAATTGATATTTTAATTTAATTAGAAGTGTTTATTTCACAATCTTACAATTTAATATATATATATATTATATAAAATCATTATATGATAATCTAATTATAATATATTTATATTTAATTTTTTAAATAAAATTTATATAATTTCTATTTTTACATATTTTTATTTTTCAAATGAATATAAAATAAAATTAAGTAGTTAGAATTATTTTTAATTTTATGTTAATACATTTTTTTTTCTAATTTAACTATTATTTTTAATATTAAAATGAGTATTTATTTTACTATTTTATAATTTAATATATATCATACAAAATTATTTTATGATAATTAGACTTTTATAATACAATAGAACTAAAATTATCAAAATACATAAATAATTTAACTAAAATTAATAGGGCACTAGATCTATAAATTCAAATCTCAATTTTATGGGCAAATTATCAACACTCCCTCAAGATTTGACTAAAATACGGATTCCTTCTAAGATTTGAAAAATTCAAAATTACCCCCTGAGGTTTATATTTGCATAACAAAAACCTCAAGGGGCGAGATATAATTTCTCAAACTTTATGAGACAATTCGTATTTTAGTCAAACCTCGAGGGGAGTGTTGGTAATTTAGCCAAAGGTCTAGACACTGAAATATTTTGTCTAAAAAGATAAGTTTAGACAAAATAATCAAAATGCCCAATATATATATATATACCGTTTGGCTTCCCTTTAGTCCGATTGTGGACTAGAAGGTGCTGTTGGGCCCGTAGGAGTCTACCACATGTCTTGTTTTGATAATCTGAATCGTATATAGAACTCGTTGAATATTATATACCTATAAAAAATTATGTTGATCGGATATTAATAGTTACATGATCAAATTAATTTTGTATTAACAAAATAGATAGTAAAAAAATAAATAGTTAACAACAATCTGATTCGATGAAATAACTATCGATATCCAATCAATATGATTTTTTATAAACATATAATATTTGACGAGTTCTACACATTAAATGATTTAAATTATTATAACAAAATCTATGATGAACTCTCACGAATCCAATGACACCTTCCAGTCCAGACAAGGGAGAGGCCAATACTTATGTCATGTACGCGGGCCAAATACTCAAAATATCCATCATCACACAGTCACTCTCTCTCTCTCTCTCTCTCTTATTAATCTAGGTCTCTCATTCTTCCTATTACCATTTCATCATTCACAGCCTTCAATCTGCATCTCCAAGCTGCCATTTTTTTTATAGACCTCACGTCGAGCCATCAAATCAGCATCCGTCGCTGTCCTCCGGAACTAGAGTTTCTTCGTCATCCAACCGGAGCTCCGTCGCCCCCGCACCGCTTGAGACGTCGGTCGCCTCCCCGTGTATCTCAGATCCTCTTTACTCCGATCATTTTTCTCCTCTTTCTCCGTCGCCACCACCTTTCATTCTTTTCTTTATTCTTTTATTCCTCCGTTCTTGATCCTTCTCTGTTCTTGTAAAGGGTCAGAAATTGAACCCCAAACTAAGTATGGACTCAAGCACTAAGATCGCCCTGAGAAGGCGACCAGGGATAAAAGAGGAGCGTGGACCAAAGCCCAATGGAAGTTGGCCAACAGGTGGGCCGAGGCAGGTCCGACCCACCAAGGCTCCAGATGGACTCAACGAGAAAAAATGCCCAAGTCAAGTTGCAGAGGCAACACCTGCAGCGGTCAAGTTGCCGAGGGGACATGTGCAACGGTAGAGTTGCTGAGGCACTTTGTTTCAGCGCCGCTATTCCTATTAACTTCGATTTCGCCACCATTGGAAGTTGTCGAGGGAACATGTGCAACGGCAAAGTTGTTGAGGCACTTTGTCTCAACGCCGCCGATCTAAGTATCTTCGGTGCCGCCGCCATTCCAAGTAATGTCGGTGTCACGATCATCTGGAGTTGCCGAAGGAAAGAGAAGACCGAGGCAACTAAGTTGCTAAGGCAATACTTGCAGCGCCCAAGTTGAGGGGGCATTCTATCGGCGCCACCATCTCTAATATCTTCGGTCATGCCATCTGAACTTGCCGCAGGAAACGACTACCACAGCAACTAAGTTGCAGAGGGAATTCCCTACCAAGGTGATACCAGCCTTTGAGAGAGGCTTCCCTCTGTGAGTAGAGGCTAATGCTTGGCGCCGATAGCAGGTCCCAAGGCATTACTAGCCCAGGGCTGATAGCAGGCCCCATAGTTTATTAACTTGGCGTTGATAGCAGGCCCCAAGACTTATTGATTGGAGCTGATAGCAGGAACAGAAATATCAGTTTACCGCGGTAACCCTGTGAAGATGGAAGCAGGGTAGCCCGAATATAAGGGACTCCCTTTCCATTGCCAAGGTCTTGGACCTGCCTTAGTCATACAGGCAGGACTAAGGAAGCCCCCTCGGGCTTGGTATTAAGGCGTAGCATGGTTGATAGCAGGCTTGGCTGTGGCTTTCGCCCTGGAAAGTTGGGGAGTTTGTGGTTAGGTGGCTAAGGGTGGAGGTTTCGCTGAGGTGAACATGAACATAGCTGATAGTAGGCTGATGGAGTCCTGAGAATGCATGTACTGATCAAATAGAATCGAGAAGGCAAGTGCAACGGCAAGGTTCACTGTTGCAAGTGCACTTGCTAAGGTTCAAGCTGAAAAGGCAAGTGCATAGGCAAACACTCTTGCTGTAACTACACTTGGGGAGGCTCAAAAGGGAGTTGCAATGCCAAACACTCCTGTCGCAACTACACTTGCCAAGGCTCAAAAAAGGTAGTTGTGGAGGCAAACAGATAGTACACAGTGCATGTAGAGGGATACATGGCACCTTCAGCCTGGTGGCTTAAGGCAGAATATTCCATGTGATTCTCTGAAACACATGTCTTCCCTCTATTTGGCCACTTGGTGTCTTCTTAGAACCAAGGAAAAGCCTATAAATAGAACCCATTTCCCAAGGTTCAACAGGAGAAATTTTGGAAATTTGGAGGAGATGCTGCCCAATTTGGTACTGCCACACACTTCTTCTTGAGCCACTTGCTTCACCCTCACCCAGCTACACACTCTCCAATTCCTAGATAGTTGCTGCTGTTCATTCTCAAGCCATTTCCATCATCAGTGGACCATTAACATAGTTTTGCCTCTCTAATCTTGAACCCCCCTACATTTTTGGCGACTCTGCTGGGGAGGCTGCTTTGTTGATGGTTCACACCTGCAGTGGCTTACATACTTCACTGGAAAAGATGGCTGAGGAAGAAGTTCAACAACCCCTACAGCAGCAAGGCTCTTCCAATGGCGAAGCAGCACATGCGGAAGACCATGACCACAGTATCGTGGTTAAGGCAGTTCAGTCACTACAGGATACGCAGAGGGAGATTCTGGCAACTTTGCAAACTCTCATTGAGGCCATTGTGGCCATGGTTGCTAAACCAGTTCCAGTGCAAGCACCCCCACCTGTAGCAGTCCCAAACCCAGCGCCTAACTTGTTCCCTGAGGTTCGGGCTCTGATCCAAGTGCCTCTGGTGGTACCTTAGGTGAACGGTACAGTCGCTAGTTTAGCTACCGAGGAGCAGACTGGACCATTCCAACCCACTCACTTTGTTACTCTAGACGATGTACAAGCTATGCTCGAGTAAGAGTGTAGCAAGAAATAACTGCCATCTCTCCTAGACCCAGATGTGAAGCCCCCATACTCTCTAGAGATATTGATCATGCCCTACCGAACTGGGTATATGGTGCCCAAGTTTATTAAGTTTGATGGAAACAAGGCAATGCCAGAGAACACGTGGTAAGGTTCATTGAAACTCTTGGTGTCCATGGCAGTGACCACTCTCTGCACCTTTGGGAGTTCTCCAAATCACTTACTGAAAGAGCCCACAGTTGGTATGTGAACTTGGCTCCCAACTCGATCAAGAGTTGGAAGGAAATA